TAACACAAACACACTAATAAGACAGTTTACAATCTCCTTTCTTGTGTGGTATTCATAGAAACACACTAAATAAATGCAGTTCACTTTCTTGCAAAGTGTTCCTACAACCACACTAAACAACTAACAACCTCTTCTCTTGCTTACAGCACCTAAAAGCAAACTAATTCAACACAATTCACAAGTCTTTCTTGCCTAGTGTTCCTACAACCACACTAACTCAACACAGATCATACAGTACTCTCAGTGTTTATACAATGACAAAGTCATTTCACAGCAATCTCTCTTGCCTAGTGTACCTACAACCACTCTAGCCCAATATAGTTCACACAGTACTCTCTTAGTATTCCCACAATGACAATAACTTAACTCATTTTCATAGAAATTTCTGTTGCTAATGTACCTACAACCACCCTAACCCAATATAATTTATAGTCACCATTGTTGCCTACTGTAACTACAAGTACACTAACCCAAAAGAGTTGACAGTTGTGTTTCTATAACCCCACTAACTCAACACAGTTCACAGTGGCCTCTTTTGCCTAGTTTTCCTAAAACCACACTAATACAACACATTTCTCAGTGTCATCTCTTTCCTAGTCTTGCCGCAAACACTAACCCAAGGCAGTTCAGAGTTTTCTCTTGCCTGATGTTCCTATGATCACACTAACTCAAAGCAGTTCATGGTCTTATCTTGCCTAGTGTTGCTACAACCAAGTAATTCAATGCAGTTCAGGAAATCCTCTCTTACCTACTGTTCCAACAAACACACTAAATCAATAGAGTTCACTTCAGGATCTCTTACCTAGTGTTCATATAACCAGTCATTCAACACAGTACACAATATTCTATCTTCTCTAGAGTTCCTACAACAATACTAACCCAACACAGTTGACAGGGTCCTTTTTTGCTTAGTGTTCCTAAAAACATACTAATAAATGCAGTATACAGTGTTCTCCCACTGGTGTGGCTAGTGTTCCATCAAGCACACTAACTCAAGATAATTCACAGCATTCATTATTGCTTAGTGTTCCTTAAAAAAACTAAACCAACACAGTTCCCAGTCTTGTCTCCTGCCTAGTTTTCCTAAACCCTCATTAACAAGACGTAGTCCACAGTGTCCTACCTTGCCTAGGGCTCCTAAACCCACACTAACACAACACAGTTCATAGCTTTTTCTTTTGCCTAGTGTTCACTCAACCACACTAAGCTCACACAGTTCACAGCATGTTCTTTCCTTGTGTTTCTACACTACACTAATACAACACAGTTCCCAGAATCTTCTCTTACTTAGTGGTCAAAAACCACACTAAACCAGCCTACCTGCCTAGTGTTCTTGTAAACAGACTAACTCAACACAGATCACAGTGTCCTCTCTTGTCTAGAATTCCCCAAATCACACCAACATGCTGTGGGATGTCTTTCTGGGTGCTGTGAATATGTATTGCTCTGATTGGTTGATGAATAAAATTGTGATTGACCAGTAGCCCAGGCAGGAACTATAGGTGGGGGTGAGCATCCAAATACACCAACAGGACACAGTTTACAGGGCATTCTCTTCCCTAGTCTTGCAATAACCAAACTAAACCAAGGCAGTTCAGTGGTTATTCTTGCCTCATATTCTTACAAGCATATTGACTCATCATAGTTCACTGTGTCCTAGCTTACCTAGCATTGCAACAACCAAAGAACTCGATGCAGTTCAGAGCATCCTCTCTTGTCTAATGCTCCTGCAACAACACAATGTAGTACACAATGTTCTCTCTTGTTTAGAGTTCTGATGACCACAGAAACTCAAGACATTACAGTATCCTTTCTTGTCTAATCTTCCTAAAAGCACACTACTTCAAACAAATTACATATCCACTCTTGCCTATTGTTCATACATATACACTAACTCTATACAATTCAAAGCAACCTCTCTTTCCTAGAGTCCTTAAAACCACACTAACTCAAAGCAATTCACTGCATCCTCTCTTGCCTAGTGTTGCTAGAACCACAATTAAGTCAATGCAGTTCACAGAGTCATCTCTTATCTAGTTCTTACAACCACACTAAACCAAAAGTATTCACAGCATCCTGTCTGTCCTACTGTCCCTAAAACCACACTAACACAAAACAGTTCACTAGTTCATGTCTTCTATAGTGTTCTCTCTTACAAAATCCACACTAATGCATCAGATTTCAATCTGTCTTCTCTTGCCTGGTATTCCTACTACCACATTAAGCCAAACCTTTCACATCTTCCTTTCTTGACCAGTGGTTCTCAAATGAAAGCAACTCAACAGGGGTCACAATAGTCTCTCTTGCCTAGTGGTTTAACAACAATACTAACCCAACACAGTTAAGAGCATTCTCTCTTGCCTGATGTTCCTACAAGCACACTAAGTCACCACATTTGAAAGCATCCTTTCTTGCTTAGTATTCCTACAACCTTACTAACTCAAGACAGTTCACAGCATCCTTTCTTGCCTAGTGTTCCTAAAAGCACACTACCTTAAACAGTTTATAGCATAATGCATAGTGTCCTACAAACACACTATGCCAACACAATTCAGATGACCCTATATTCCCTAGTGTTACTACACCAACAGTAACCCAACACAGTCTAAAGCATCCTCTCTTACCTGTGTTACTACAAGCACACCAACTAAATATAGCACACAGCATTGTCTCTTGCAGTCTTCCTACAATCACACTAACCCAATGCAGTTCACAGCGGCCTCTCTTACAAAGAGGGCTATACCACAGTAGCACAATCAGTCTACAGTATCCTTTCCTGTCTAGTGTTATTACAAACATATAAACTGAACATAGTTCATTGTCCTTTCATACATAGTGCCCTACACCCACACTAATTCCAATATAATTCACAGGGTCCTTTCTTGCCTAGTGTTCCTACACCCATATTAACTCAGCACAATTCATATTGTACTCTTTTAAACAGTGTTCCTACAATGACAATAACTCAACTCAGTTCTCAGAAATATTCCTTGCTGAGTGTCACTAAAAACACACTACATAAATACAATTGATAGCATCCTCTCCTGCTTAGTTTTCCTACAACCACACTAACACAAACAATTCACAGAACCCTCCCTTGCATAGTATTCCAAGAACCACGCTAACTCAAAAGACAGCAGTGCGTCTTTTCTTACCTAGAGTTCTTACAACCACACTCAGCCAACACAGTTGATAATGTCCTCTCTTCCCTGGTGTCCATAGAACCACTAATTAATAATAACTGATAAACTAATTACTAACCATTCCAGGCATCCTCTCTTGCCTAGTGTTTCTACATTAACTCAACTTAGTTCACTGCATCCTATCTTGTATAGTGTTCCTACACTTACACTAATTCATCTCAGTTCACTGCATCTTTCCTAGTATCCTACAACCACAATCATACCACCCAGTTTGCAACCTCCTCTCTTGCCTATGGTTCCTAAAACTACATTAACTTGATGCACTTCACAGGAACTTCTCTTGCCTTGTTTTCTACAACCACACTAACTCAACACAGATCACATTGTATTCTCTCGAATAATGTTCCTACAATGACAATTACTCAACTCAGTGCACAGCAATCTCTCTTGACTAGTGTTCCTACACCTACACTAAACTAATATACTTGGATGCTCAGAGGTTAAGAACACTGGCTGTTCTTCCAGAGGTCCTGAGTTCAATTCCCAACACCCATATGGTGGCTCACAACCATCTGTAATGAGATCTGGCTCCCTCTTCTGGCCTGCAGACATACATGCAGAGAGAACACTGTATACATAATAAATAAATAAATCCTTAAAAATAAATAAATAAAAATAAAAGTATCATGTGATGCTTTGAATGTTGAATACTTTATTTAAAAAAAAGTGTCCTCTCTTGCCTACTGTTCTTACACCCAGACTAACTCAAAACAATTCACAGTATTCTCTCTTGTTAACTGTTTCTAAGACCACACTAACACAACCTTCACACTATTCCCTCTTGTCTGCAATCTCACTAACTCGTTGGAATTCATTGCATCCTCTCTTGTGTAGTGTTGCTCTAACCACAATAATTCAACACAATTTATAATGTCTTCTTTTGCTTAGTACTCCTACAATACTAACCCCACACAGATCACAGCACCTTCTCTTGTCCAATGTTTCTATAATTACACTAACCCAACATAATCCACAGCATCCTCTCTTGCTTAGTGTTCTTACAGTAACACTAATACAACATGGTCCAGTGTTCTCTCTTGCTTAGTGTTCTTACACCCACAGTAACTAAACATGGTTCAGTGTAATTTCTTGCCCAATCTTCATAAGAACACACATCCCCTCTTGCCTGGTGTTCATACATCCACACTAACTCCTCACAGTTTACAGCAGCCTTTTTTGCTGAGTGCTTCTACAACCATAGTAAATCAACACAGTTCATAGTGTCCTCTCTTTCCTTGTGTTCTACAACACTAACCCAACAAAGTTTACCGAGCCCTCTCTTGCCTAATATTCCTACAGTGACAGTCGGTCACTCAGCACACAGTATCCTCTCATGCATAGCATTCCTACAACCATACTAATGCAAGGCAGTACACAGCTTTCTCTTTTGCTTAGTATTCCCACATCCACACTTTGTCAACACAGTTCACAGCCACCTCTCTTTCCGAGTGTCCTACAAACATACTACCTCAACATGGCTCAGAGCATGCTTACTTGCTTTGTGTTCCTACATCCACATTAACTCAACACATTTTACAGCCTCCTTTCTTGCCTAATGTTCCTACAACCACACTAACACAACCCAATTTATAGCATCCTCTCCTGCCTAGTGTTCCTACAACCACATTAACTGAACACAGTTAATAGAGTCCTCTCTTGTCTAGTGTCCCTACAATAACACTAACTCAACAGAATTTCCAGCTTCCTCTCTTGCCTACTGTTCCTACATCCACAATAGCCCAACATTTAATTCATCCTCTCTTGCCTATTATGCCTATTGTTCCTTCTATTTCTTACCTTCTTGAAGGTATTGTCATTAGGTGCTTTCAACTTCTTGTTCACCATTTCTCCCATTCAGCACTCTTCTCCTCATAATGTCCTCTTTTTTTCATACCTGCAAATAGACAGGCCAAGTCTTTTATATCTTGCATATCCTTTTAATATATTTACTTCCTGTCTCATGTAGTCACGACTGCTTTATTTTGAGTTAATCTGGATTACACAAAAACAGCCTTCTAACTTATATCCCATCCTAAAGCCTGACCCCTTTTTGACATGTCTTCCTCCCTGCAGACAGCAGACAGCATTATCCATTTATAATGGAAATGTGCACCCATTAAAATCCTTCAACTTCTCCTTGTGGTTTTCAAGATAAAGATCAAACTTCATAGCACATAAAGTTCCTGTTGATTTGGCCACTGAGTAACTTTGCAGTCTTCATCCTTATACCAGAAATAGTGAAATACACGTGATTGCCAAAACTCATGGTCTTAGTCCATGCAGGCTTCTATCCTACAACTTCAGAATCTAGGTAATTTATAAAGCACAGAAACACATTCTTCTCTCATCTGTAGGCTGAGAATTCCCAGGATCAAGATAGTTTGGGTTATCTGTTGATGTATGCCATCAGTTCCCAAGATGATACCTTCAAGATGTACCTTCAAGAAAGAATGAGTGCTGGGGAATCACAGGGCTGAAGGCATCTTGGCTAGCAAAACTGTGCATTGTAGGAATGAACCTTCTCATAAGTGCTTTCTTTCCTTCTGTGACAGAATAGCCTCATCAGCCTTACCTCTTAATTCCATTACACTATATGCATGTTCCATTTAGGGCTGAGCACTTAACAATCACTCTCTGCACTTTAACCAGTTGTGGGTCTCTACATTAACTAATACCAACTGCAGAAAGAAGTTTCTTTGACCAAATCTAAAATCTGCACTAGTCTATGGCTAAAAACAAATATTTAGAAGGCATTTGATAACATGTCTATTTTGCAAAATGACAGTAGTAGGTACTCCCCAGGACCTAGGATGTCCTAAGCCATGGAATTTTGATCAGCTTTATAGTACCAGTCATGAATTACCTCTACGGAGCATGCTTCAAGCCCAGGCATAAAGCAGAATAATTACTCCTATAACAGACATGCTCTTATTGCACCAACTGGCACATCTTGCCTGGCAGGTCAATGTTATACTATCAAGGTTCACAGTTATATATGACCATTAATGATGCCCCTATCACCACCAACAGCCTGCATAGCACCCACCTTTCAGTACCATGAATGCTATCCAGCAGGGAGGAAGCTTCCATTTCAGCTCCAGCTTTATTTCTCTGTGTCCTGCAACCACAATATTCAGTGCCTTCAGCAATAGGGTTTTACTATCTAGTTCTGATGAGAAACCAATAGCAATAATAATAGTCTATACTATTTGAGGATCTTCTGGACCACAAACTCATGAAGAGGGAATTCCACACCTGATAGTAGTGTTTTCATTTCATAACTATGGCTTCCAGGAGTACACATTACCCATTCAGGACACTTCCATCAACTCCTCTTTAAATAATTATATTTTTTAATTGGCTTACAAAATAGTAGGTTTCCATATGGAGTTTTTCATAATCCTTAGATTCAGTTAACCCTTTTCTGACTCCGTCACCATTTTTCTACTCCTTATCCCACCTAAACATTCATACCCCCAGTATGCCCTGCCTCTATTTTCATATTGCAACTGGTTCCTATGTCTCTCCATCTAGGATTTTCATCACTTCAGGAGCCCTTTCCTAGTTTTCTGGCCTCTACATGCACTCCTAATTAAACACAAATATTTAAAATCGGAGGGGACTATCTACATATAAGAGAGAACATATGGTGTGTGTCTTTCTGGGCCTGAGTTCCTTGCTTAATATAATATTTACCATTTCCATCCTTTTTCTTGTACATTTTGTAACTTTACTTTTCTTTACGACTGAATAAAATTCCACCGTGTTTGTATGTAGCTCATTACCATTACCCATTCATCAGTAAAATGATACAGTCACAATGGAAAATCAGTTTGGAGATTTCTAAAAACAATTCAAATAGCACTACCATATGACCCAGCTATACCAAACCTGGACATATACACAAAGGACTCTGTTGTCCTATTACAGAGATATTTGCTCATCTGTGTTCATTGCTGCTCTATTCACAATTGCCAGGAAATGGAATCAGTCTAGATTCCATTTCATCAACTGTTTTGCTGCTGCTGATGTTGTAGTTGTTTTGAATTGAGATGGGGGTCTCATTATGTAGCCAAGGCTGGCCTGAAACTCTCGCCAATCTTTGTGTCTTAGCCTCCCTAATGTTGGTATTACAGGTATGAACCACCAGAGCCAGCTTTAAGGCTTTAATTTGATTTGTATTTACTCCTCTGCTGGTGTAGAATCATAGGACATTTTTTCCCTTAAAATATGGACAGTTGAGTAGATGGGTGAATGAATAAATAAATGCCTAGGGTCTTATTCATCTTATATCTCCATTGCCTGGCATGCTCCCAGGCACACAATCAAAAAAGTTTATAAAACTGATTTTTCCCTGAGTGGTGCATTTTAGAAATTAAACCAAGTTACAGTGTGACTTCATGCATTTACCCCTTGTATATGGCCCTCCTTGGGAGGACCCTCAACAGGTCTGGGATGGATCTGTACTTAAACATGGCATGGGTTTTCTAATAAGAATACAACATTGCTTGAATCCTAGAACATAACATCCCAATACGTTAAGGACTCGACTCAAACGACACTGCACGCTGACAGACATGGCCTTGTTGCTGCTCTTCTATGCCTATTGAGACACTTGACTATACAGATTTGGGGATCCAGGCAATAGGGGACAGTAAAGCCTTTCAATAAAATCATGATATGCCAGCCAGCTGCAAATCCTATCTGATATTTCTTCTCTTCCTGCTTCGATCCAGGGAAAAATGTCTGTGATGCTGTCGGGTAAGAACGGGCCATTGATCTGTCTGTGTGAAGAGAGGCTGGAATATTGATGTCACAAGTCCTCTGTGTGCAAACTGCTTCCAGTAAATGAGGTGTCTGAGACTCAGGCTTCTTGGACTAATAAACACCTGAAGGAACAAAAGCCACCCGTGCACTCTACCTCTGCAGCCAGCAGTGATTTGAACTGGAAATCAGTGTTTATGTAATTACTGCCCATTCCTCCCCTCCCCTTGACTGGAATTCATTGCTTGAGTGCTCTACATTTCCTAGTGCATGGTTGAGTGTGGGCAGTCCTACTATGTAATAATACACAAGTGGACTGGCTTCCAGCCTGAGGGGACTAAATGTCTCCTTCCTCTTTCTTAGTGCTTGCTTATCCACACACTGACAAACTGGACTGGGTGGGAAATTCTTTTTGTTTGGCAAAATATGTTTTGATCTTTAGTACAGATCTGTGCTGTGGATTAAGTCAGAAATTCCTAGCATCTAGCCTAGGATAAGGCTAGGACTTCAGTTAAGCTCTAGAAATTAGATACAAAATTTGATACATACATTCATGCTTCTACCAAGAAACGTCATAGTTTGGGCCAAATTCAGAAGGGATCCTAAAATTCTCTAAAGCTATAGCACAGTTTGTACTGGATGTTAACATTTGTGCTTCTCTGGGGAGAGTCACCTCCTCACTGTGGAAACTGCTACATAGAGCTTTGTTCGGAAAGAAGCCAAATTTGACAGTTGGTGGTGGGTTCAAATCCTAGCCCTTCCACTTATCTCATGTACTTTTGGGTAAGCCACTTCACTGATTCTATTTTAGAGTCTGCAAAAACAGCATAAGAATGCCTGCATTTGTTGTAAAGAAGAGAGACAATGTACGTGAATGTATTGTGTCTAAGATATCCAAGGATTCTTGTTCCATGCATGTCTGAAGAAGCAGAACATTGAATGATGCAACCTCATGCGCGCACGCACACACACACACACACACACACACACACACACACACACACACACAAACTCCTGCCATGAATACTGACTCCTTGTAATCCTAGACTGATAGCATCCTGGTAGTGCTTTCTATCAGGAAAGTGAAGCATGTTTCTGCACAAAGGAAAATACTCCCAAAGGAACAGAAATACTCCGGGTCTTATACGAAAGGGACCACAGCCATGACTGAGGTGAGGTGAAATCATAATCTCAGCTACTCAGGATACTGAGCTGGAATATTGAAAGCTCAAGACTTGCTTGAGCTACATAGTGAGTTCAAGACTAGCCTAGGAAACCTCTGTCTCAAAATAAAAACCCACAAAAAGTGCTGGGAATGTATCTCAATGGTGAAGTGCTTGCCTGTATGCATGAAGGCCCTAAGTGCCATCTCAAACATATAACTAAATGATAGATGACAGCTAGCTAGCTAGATGACAGATGGATGATAGATTGATAGATGATAGATAGCTGGATAGGTAGATAGATAGATGATACATAAATAGATGACACATAGAAAGATAGATAGATGATAGATAGATACATACATACATACATACATACATACATACATAGATGATTGATGATAGATGGATAGGTAGATTTGTAGATGATTGATAGATGATAAATAGATTGATAGATGATAGATACATAGATATATAGATACATAGATAGAAGATAGTAGATGATAGATAGATAGATAGATAGATAGATAGATAGATAGATAGATAGATAGATAGATAGATAGATAGATAGATAAAGAGAATAACAAAGACAGACACACAGAGAGATTGAGATTTACAAGACGAGAGTGAGGGAACAGGTCCACCTTAATCTTTGACAAAGGTGTAGAGAAAAGGGTCATTTTTAAAAAATTTTATAATTAATTTAATTTTACATATCAGCCACGGATTCCCCTGTCCTCCCTCCTCCCACCCCCTACACTTCCCCCAATCCACCCCCGCCATTCCCACCTCCTCTAATGCAAGGACTCCCCTGGGGATTCAGCTCAGCCTGGTAGATTCAGTTGAGGCAGGTCCAGTCCCCTCCTCCCTTCACCTAGGCTGAACAAAGTTGCACCAACAATGCTGAAAAACATGAGGTGACTGTCCAGGCTGCCAGCTGTCTTGGTCTACTTTTGCAAGATTCCCGAAAGTTGCTTGCATCCATCTACCATTTCCCAGGTACCATTATGTTCCTTCTCAGGTCTTTGATGTGGTTGAAAACTAGATAGTTGTAATTTCCTCAGTTATGATAAAAGATAA